AACCTAATTTACTTCCACTTCTGCTTTAGCACTAGTCGACCACTCAAAGTTTAAGACAGGCCTTGTGTATTAGGAATTGCTAATAGCAAGTCTGGATGGACTGTTGAAGTGAAAGTATTTCAACCTCCCCATGCTTCCGCTTCATTTACTTAGTACATTCTTTTGTCTCCCATGCATCATTATTTAGACATCAGGATATGGAATTTCAAGTTTAAATGGTGTCATTTCTGTTTGACTGGAGATAATTCCCTTTTTCTCCTTTTTATTTTGTAGCTGGAGTATTGATTATTCCACGGAGTTCAGCTGAATCATAAGTTAATATTTCAAGGATCTATCTTTAATTTTTTGAGCAAATTCAAGGATCTATCTGAGCAGTCATATTTTATGGGAAATTTTTAGACTTTCCCTCCTTTTTGTAAATTCTTTATATTTTGGTTTCACCTCATATTTATATCTTTTCTGGAGGGCTATATTCATCTCACTGTGTATTGTAATTGTTCCCTGCAGATGTGGTCCATGATGTATCTAATCATATGAAAGACGTGAGTGCACGGGCTTCTTTTGGGAATGTTTTTGTGGAATCTTGTAGCATTAGAACCCAAATGCTGCTTAATTTACCGTTGTTTTGAATTATGTTTGTTTCATTTTGCAGGATGCATTATGCTCTGGTTTGGAAGATCGTCCTGGACGATCTGGTAATTCTTTGGATCTTTCTTTAATATCATCGTTTCAGATTAGAAGGCTTGCCTTAATTAGGGAGAGAAATGTGGATTAAGACAAGAAAAAACTATTTGCCTTCTCTTCTTAGCTTCTCTTTTCTTGAAACTGATGTGTCGTTGCAACTGTTCTCCAGTATTTTGGTCTCTGATGCCCCCCGACCAACGTGGAATTTGTGCCCCAGTAGAGCCTTCCTTTTCTTTATCATTCAGGTCAGTTCGCATGCCCGTATAGTAATATTGTTTATGTGCTCATTGTGTAAACGGTCTACGTGGTGATAATGTACACAATTTTGTTTCCCTTCTGCTTTAATAATATGGCTTGTTGACCATCTCTCTTATGGGGATATTGATATGATGGTACTTCCAATACACCAAGAAGCTGTAGATAATGTTATAGTTGTCTTGAGGTTGACTTTTCGCAGAACTGAGTTTTATCCATATTGTTCTGGACTAACATGCTGTCTGTTATTCCCCATGCCTTTCTTGCAGTTCAATTCAACATCCATCCGTCAGAGTTCCACAATCGGCTGGTTTCTCCATCCCATCCTTGCAGCCGAACATCTTAGATGGTCGATTTTTGACCGTGTCTCCTCCCTTCCCACAAAGCCATTGCCTTTAAGTGAGATGATCTAATAAACTGCTATTGGAATGAAACGCGGGCCGTAATTTATTACACATGTTAATATAGAGTTGCATTGAGCACTGTCATACAGTCTGCCATTGTATCATGAACATGTAGAGTGTATTCAGAATATTCTTACTCGAATTCTTCAATATTGTAAAGCCAATCGACATTGTACCATGACAATTTAGCTTCTGAGATCGAATTATGTTGACAACTTAGCGATCACTTGACTCCTTAGTTCGTGCATCATTGAAGCTCAAACAGTGTTACAAATTGACGTTTTTCGACTACTTTTAACGGATGCAACCGCACACTGTTTAATTGACCAAACAAAGTGACTCACTTCTTTCACCGACGAGCGGAGCGAGCGGGCGACTCAAACTTGGGATCTCTTCCTGCACAGTGTTTTGTTTTAATGCAGGCAGCAGGTGTTGTGGATTTTGGTGGTGCGATTGAGGGGAATGTGGCATGTTTAATTGAAGTGGACAGACGTTCTGATTGCGAGGGGGAATGGATAGTGGCAATGGAGACGTTGGAGAGGGAATGACAAAGCAAAGCAAGAACAAGACAAAGACAAAGGTGACGCCGCTGAAATTGCTTGGCGTAAACGCTGCAAATGGGCGGCAACCACACGTGCTTTTGTTCGCAAATGCATCGCATCTGAAGGGTAATGGCCGGTTTGGTTCAGTTTGGCTCGATTGTGAGTTCGAGTTTTTGTGAACCGGCCAAAACCAAATTAGATTAACCATTTATACATTATTCCTCTCATTAGCTAATACTCTTTCGTTAAAATCGAAATGAAATAAAAACATTTACTGTAATTGGTCCGGTCACGATTTTAATACAAGACTGATACAATTTATATACGTCTACGGCCTTTTTGTAGTTTGAATGAGTGTAATACTTATATATAGAAATCATGCATTTTGAGTTTGATACATATAACTACTGTTATACTAGTATGAGTTCAAAATATTGGCCTCACATTCAAATTTTCCCGCTTAATAGAAGAGTGTGGTTCCAATATAAATTCAGTATATTAGTATCCACTCACTTTTTCGACCTCTTGACCACCCTTTCCTTCAAACCAACTAACTAGAAGCCGACATAAAGATAGAAAAAGGATCAAGAACAGCTTAAAAACCACAAATGCCAAAACTCTATTAACACGTAGATTATTAGATCAACAACAATGTTATTCTTACCATTTATTTGTACAAATTTTCTAATAAGGATGAGATCTACATATGTCTATTGCCACCTGGTCCTTTCCTCTTCCCTTTTTAGGGGATTTGAGAGACTGAGAACATTCGGAGAAAGAGGAGAGGAGAGAGAGAACCCTCCTCCTCATAGCACATCACATCCAACAATTAGAAGATCTAAAACTATAAAGCCCAAATTACACAAGCACACCCCTTTTTATTCCATGCACTCTCTTAATTTGCGATCGGCGAATTGACTTAATTAAAGAAGATCAAAGGATATAAATTAATAAGAAGAGTATGAGAAGTAAAAATAGATGTATGAATAACCACAAATACACTCTCATACAAAAGATAGAGGTAGACGCATTTACATACATATACACAGAGAGAGAGAGGGACTCAGATAAATCCCTCTTTTCTTTTCTCTCTTTTTTCAATGAGATCTTCATATTCTTCTCCAACAATGTTTGCTTTGTAAAATCCAAAAGTTTTTATCTGTGTTTTATCATCCATTTTGTGAAATTTTCTTTCTTTTTCTCTTCTTGGAAACATAAAATCAAAACCCTCAATCCCAAGTAGACCTGACAATTTCTTACACGACTCGTTAACATGATATGTAAATGACACGAAAATAACAGGTTTCGGGTCAACATGATAACTAATTGGGTCTCTATCAGGTCACACGAGAAAAACCTGTTAATAACTACAGGTTTACACGAATGTGACACACGAGTAACCTGATTCGACACATTAAGAAAAAGTTAATTTGATGGTTTTATGTTTCTAAACTACTAAAAAAACTTACTATATAATACAGTAGCCATGGTGTATATGTATATATTATATATTAAATATGTATTATTGTATTATTATTCTATATAAAATTAAAAATTTTAAGTTTTATATATTTTTATAGTATACTATAGGCAAAGAGTGAGATTTAAAAAATTATAAAACACATTATAAATAAAAATAGCAAGTAAATAAAAAATACCAAACACATTACAAAATTATAATAATTAATTTACAAGTGCAAAAAATGTGCAAAAAAAAATGCAAACGCTCGTGATAACATCCTCTAGCTTTGAGTTTGGGTATATTGTCGTTTGAATTTTTAAAACCATACAAACCCTAGTGAATAGTATTTTTAAAGGAGTTCAAAATAAATAAAATTCATAATCATTAATGTACAAGTCTGAAAAATGTGAAAACATATATAAACGTGTAAGGTTCCTCAATTTATTTTGCATATCCATGAACATTTGATATTTTGTAGTAATGTACTAAGGTTTTTTCATTAGGCTCTATTTTTGGAGTATGTAATACTTGAAAGACAAATGTTTTATTTTTATGTTTTGAAGTAATATACATGTGACAATATAATATGTGTATACTAATTTAGTATTATTTTTTTCATTTTTTGTTTGTCAAATTATGTTTTTCATTTTCATTATTTATTGATTTAAAATATATCTTCTTTAATTGGTAACGGGTTAGGTCATATTACCTGATAATATTAACGGGTTGATTTCAGGTCGGATCATATTACCCATTTACTTTAATAGGTGTTACATGATACGACTCGTTAAAATATCAAATATGTCACAAAAGCGACACGAACACAAAAAACACGATACGAATGACATATCTAATCCCAAGTCTTCAACTTTAATTTTTGCTTGTTTGGTGGGATTTTATTATTTCATTTAATTACATCGGTTTTCACGTAAATTGGGATTGAATTTCTTGAAATTGGTCAATATTGGCAATTGGGTTTTGTTTTGTTTTTTTATTTTTTTATTTTTTTATCAAATGATAAATTTGTTAGATTCGATGTTAGATTAGAAAGTTGATAAGATTCGAACTCACGTCTTGGTATAAAAACAACACTTCTAATCAGAACTGTAGTCCCACCCTAATTGTGATTTTTATAGTAATTTAGGGTTATATTTTACAAGAAATTCAAAGTTGTATTTAGAAACTGAGGCTGTGGATTTTGTAACTTCAATTTAAAGCTTTTGATTATGTTGGACGATTATCTATATATTTAGTAGCTCTAATTATAAGTCTGCACGTTGATCTGCTAGTTTTGGAAATTGGGAACTGTAATAAGATTTATGCTGGATTGTGACGGTGCACCGAGAACTTCTTCGAATTCGAGGTTGTCGTCTGTGTTGCATTTGTTGTAATGAATTTTTGGCCTTATAGTCAGGACATGTTCCTGATGTTGGCTTTTGCTGATGAGCAGCTGATCAGTCTCTATTAGATGAGCAAACGACCAAAAATTAATATTTTCCGGTACCAGTTCCTATTCGAGGGTGGAACTTGATAGAGATGGGTTGTGTGACTGAGATTATGCCACTTGTATGAAGATTAGAGAGTCAATTAGTTAGTTAGGTTGTTAGAAGTATTGCGAAGTGTATAAATACTATTGAATGTACTTGCTTAATTGCTAAGAAATTAATACACTGAAGTTTCCCATTTTTACTTCTTTCTCTAAAACCTCTCGAGCTCTCTCTCTCTCTCTCTCTCACACACACACACACACACTACATTTCTGAAGGTTAAGATGGTATCAATTGCCATGAAAGCTCCCCTTGATCTCAATCCAAGTCTTCCGCCGTTTTGATTCTTCGATCGATCTTTGTCTTCATTGATCTTCTTGCTTCTTGTTCGTGGTTCTTGATCGAATTCACTTCGTCTGCTCTTTAATCTAGGGTTTTCTTCATCCCTAAGGCTTTGCAACTGCGATTCCGGTTGTGACTTTGTCTTCTACAATTTGTGCCCTCCAGGTGTTTGGTGCGTGTTCTCAGAGATATTTCTGCCAAATTATAAAAGTCTTTCACTCGTAATACAGCAACAATGGTAACTGCTTCTCAATTACAGCTCCTTCAATCACCGATAACTGTTTTGGTTTCATCGATTTCCACATCTGTGAGTGTTAAACTTGATGATTCGAACTATCTAAATTGGCATTTTCAATTGAAATTATTGCTTGAAAGTAATGGAATCCTAGGGTTTGTTGATGGCTCGCATCCCTGTCCTGCTCAATTCATCTCTCAGTCTGGAGAATCTGATGTAAATTCGTCAAATTCATCGTCTTCCTCTGTTAATGATGAGCATTTAGTTCGGATGATGCATGATAAAGCCCTGATGCAATTACTTAGTGCATCTTTAAGTCCTGTGGCAATGTCATGTGCTATGAGGAGTACCAGTTCTAAGGATATTTGGATTCGACTACAAGAACAGTTTTTAACTGTCTCTAAGACCAGCATTTTCAGATGAAATCGAATTTGCAAACAATCAAAAAGGGCTCTCATTCTATCACTCAGTACTTACAAAAGATAAAGCAAGCTAGAGATGATCTTTCTGCTGCTGGGGTTTACTTTCTTAATGAAGACATTGTTATACTTGCATTAAATGGTTTACAAGCAGAGTACAATACATTTCAGACTGTGATAAGGGGGCGTGAAAATGTCATTTCTTTGAAGGAATTTCGAACACAATTGCTTGCTGAAGAAGCCATTCTTGAGTCCACTGTTAATGCACTGTTTATAGCCATGATTGCCAATACTCCAACTCAGAGAGGGTCTAATCAATCCAGTTTTGTCTCTGGTGGATTCAAGTAGTTTAATGCCAATATGAACAAGGGTAAGGGCAGATTTAATCAACATCCAAGAAGTTTTTCACCTAGACAGTACATGCCTACTCAAACACATGTCATTCAAACTCCAAGTCCTGGTATACTTGGTTAATTTTCAAATTCACATCAGCATATTCCTTCTGCCCCACCTGAGAAGCTAAGATGTCAAATCTGTGGGAGATTCAATCACAATACCTGGTTTTGTTTCTACAATGAGAAGGGTCCCAATTATATTGGTGCTGGAGCTAATTCGACTTACTCTCCGATGTCTTCATATTCTTAGCAAGGATATCAATACTCTCTGGTTAATGCCTATCCACAACAAAAGGCTCAATCATAGTTCATTGGACAATAGTCTCAATCATAGGCTCAATTGCATGCCTACCATACTATGGCATCACAACCAAATCCTTCACATGCTTCTTCATCTACTTCACAAGTGTGGATCACGGATTCAGGCACAACAAATTATACGACTGTAGATCTCTCAAACTTATCTTTGGCTTCTCCTTATCCCACCAATGAAATCATTTAGACTACAAATGGTGAAGGTTTGCATGTATCACACATTGGTAACATTGTTATCAAGCCTTCCATACATCCTATCAAACTGAATTTTGTATTATATGTGCCCTAATTATCACATAATCTTTTATCAGTGCATAAAATTTGCTTGGACAATAACTGTTGGCTTATATTTGATGCCTTATGTTTTTGGATCTAGGACAAGGCCACATGGAGGATACTCTACAAAGGACTGTGTAGTAATGGACTTTACTCAATCTCTTCCCTTGCTAATACTTGTCCTGCAGCTTCTCAAGGCATGGTTTCCAATAAAGCCCTTCTTGGTCAGCTTGTTAACTCCATTACCTGACACAATAAACTAGGACATCTTTCTAAGTCTGTTGTGTATTTCATGCTACATAAATCCAATATTACATTTACTAAAAATTCCAGTTCTATAATGTGTCAAAGCTGTCTAGAAGGTAAATTCTGCAAACTTCCTTTTTCACCAAGTGTCAATAAATTTGTCATTCCTTTTGAAGTGGTGCACAGTGATCTTTGGGGTCCTGCACCTTGTGTATCTATGGATGGATATAGGTATTATGTTACCTTTATTGATGAATGTACCAGGTATTCTTGGATCTTCATTTTGATCAATAAATCAGATCTTTGTGTTACTTTTATTGGTTTCTAGCTTATGTTCTTACTCAATTTTATGCAACAATAAGAATATTGCAAAGTGATGGTAATGGTGAGTACATAAGTAAATCCCTTCAGTCATTTCTTCTACAAAAAGGCATCTCACATAAAAAATCCTGCCCTTACACTCCAAAACAAAATGGCATGGCTGAACGAGAACACAGACATTTCATTGAAACCTCAGTTACACTACTCCAAACAGCTCAAACGCCTCCTAAGTTTTGGTCTTTAACATGTCAAACAGCCATTTACCTTATTAATAGGATGCATACTCCTATTTTATCCAATAAATCTCCATTTGAAGCCCTGTATGGTGCAGTTCCAATGATTCAACATTTAAGAACTTTTGGATGTGCTTGTTACCCTCTTCTCAGACCATATAACACTACCAAAGTTCAACCCAAGACAACAAAATGTATATTTTTGGGTTATGCATCCAAATATAAAAGGTTCATTTGTTATGCAGTTTCTCAGCACAAGTCTTTATTTCTAGGCATGTTGTGTTCAGTCAACAGGAATTCCATTAGAAAGATTTATTGGCATATACCAATCCCACATCATCATGTTCTGTGAATTTTGATGTTCAACCTTCTCCCCCTAAAGTTACATCCCAGAATGTAGTCACTATACTACCCCAAGACACTAATACAAATTCAATACCTTCTTCACTGTCTCATTCTCCAAGTCATACTTAGTCATCATTCCACTCATCATATGTTGCATTGTGTCCACACATATCTCCATCAGCATCACTATTCTTAGATACACAGCAGCCTGCTCAGTCCATTACTAGTGCAATTTATGATAATCATATCCTTGTGGTACTTGACCATAGTCCTGATACACTTCAAGTGGTTCATTCCATATCACCACTCAATCTTCATCCTATGCAGACTAGAAGTAAGAGTGGTATCAGTAAGAAAAAGGTGTTTTTGTCCACACTTGCTGCTTCTAAGTATGTTGATCTGTCTCTCTGTGAACCCTCAACATACAAATCAGCTCTTAAGAGTTCAGTTTGGTTTCAAGCCATGCAAGAGGAAATTAGTGCATTACATGTCAAGGTATATGGAGTTTGGTTCCATTACTAGTTAATAAGAACCTAGTGGGGTGCAAATGGGTCTTCAAAATAAAGAGACATTCAGATGGGTCAATATCAAAGCATAAAGACAAAGTGGTTGCTAAAGGATTCAGTCAAGAACCTGTTATTGATTATAATGACACTTTTAGTTTTGTTGTTAAACCCACCACAGTGAGGATTGTTCTAACACTTGTTGCACATGTCCCTTAGGTAACTTGATGTCAAGAGGCCTTCCTACATGGCATTCTCCAAGAGGAAGTGTTCATGGCTCAACCACCTAGCTTTGAAGATCCACATAATCCCTTATTAGTGTGTAAGTTGCACAAATCTTTCTATGGATTGAAGCAGGCCCCAAGGGCATGGAATGATAGGTTTACTCTGCCTAAATTGGGATTTCACAACACTTATTCTGATTCTTCCTTATTTGTTAAAACTATTGGATCCAATATTGTGATATTATTGTTATATGTTGATGATATTATCATCATAAGGAGTGCAACCATTGAGATACAAGAAGTGATCACTGATTTAACTTTTGAATTTGATATCAAGGACTTAGGTCTTCTTCACTTCTTTTTGGGGATTCAGATTTCTAAGACTACCAATGGCTTGTTTCTGTCACAACAAAAGTATGTCCAGGAGTTACTTGTTAAAACATAAATGATTAAATCCAAGGCCTGTGATACACTCTGCCTCCCCTACAACAGGTTACTAAAGGATGATGGTGAGCTCTATTCTAATCCAACATTATATAGAAGTGTGGTTGGTGCCTTATAGTATCTTACATTCACAAGGCTCGATATTGCCTTTTCTATGCATCAAGTGTGCCAGTTCATGCAGAATCTCATGGTTTCTCATTTCACTGCAGTAAAGAGAATTTTGAGATATTTGAAAAGAACCATGGATGTTGGTGTTTCTTACTCACGAGGAGATTTGGCATTACATACTTTTAGTGATGCAGATTGGGCAAGTGATCCTAGATTGGTTGTGTTCTTAGGGAATAACCTCATTTCATGGTCTTCCAAGAAGCAACAAATCGTATCAAGTTCCTCAACTAAGGTTAAGTATCGAGCTTTGTCTTCTACAGTAGCAGAGCTTGACTGGATTCAACAAATTCTTGCTTTTCTTCAATTTCCCATATCTGCACCTTCTGTGTTGTTTTGTGATAACCTTTCAGCTAGAGCACCGTCCTTCAATCTAGTACAACATCAACAGACCAAACCCTTCGAGGTTGATGTGCATTTTGTTTGAGAGAAAGTAGCCAAAAACAAGCTTCTAGTGCAGTTTGTGTCCTCAAATGAGCAGTTTGCTGATATTTTAACCAAATGACTCAGTGCTCCAGATCCAAACATGCGATTGAGGGAGGATGATAGAGATAAGTTGTGTGGCTGAGATTATGCCACTTGTATGAAGGTTAGAGAGTTAGTTAGTTAGGTTGTTAGAAGTATTGAGAAGTGTATAAATACTATTGAATGTATTTGCTTAATTGCTAAGAAATTAATACACTGAAGTTTTCCATTCTTTACTTCTCTCTCTAAAGCCTCTCCAGTTCTCTCTCTCTCACTACATTTCTAAAGGTTAACAGAACTGGCCGAACCGGATCGTGCGCATCCAGTTTGACTGTTAAGATGAAAAAAAAGATTAATTAAAAGGAAAACATCAATCAACGGTGTCATGCCCAACACGTGGCAGGTGCGCCGTCTTTGTCAACCTGGTTTCTCAACTATCAATCCTTCCTTCCTTGAAAACATTCTGCTAATTTAGTTACTTTTTAAGCTTGTTCATTTGTCAGTAATGAAGAAATAAAAAGTTGAATAATTCAGAATGGAAAAAAAAAAACAAAAAATTAAAGAAATTGAGTTGACACCTTCCTTAGTTAATTTGACATTTTCATTACGGATTTTAGATGGGGAAGTAGTAGTCATGAATGGAACCTAAAACAAACGAGGCCTTTATTCCTTCTCCCTCTCCTCCCTCTCTCTCACTCTCTCTCTCTTTCTCTGAAGACTGCAACTCCCAGCGAGCTGACATGGGTGGCGATGGCAGAGGTGAGTTATCAGCTCATCCATAAGCCATGTATAGCTTTTTCACATGTGATTTGGGTAAGTAAAGTTAATAACCGACTATTTCTCTAATGGTAAAAATACAGTTACTGGGGAGCAAGAAGAAGACTCCTCACTCAGCGAAGATTCCTCCCAACTCTCATCACAACTTCTAAGGTACCTCATGGATTCCCATACTCCCATTCGTTCTCTCGTTTTCTTACTTCCCGTTTGGTTCCTGAGAAAATATGATGAAACAGACATGATCAAAATTGGTTTTGAACTATAGGACTAGATTCTCGGAAATCATGTTTCAATTTCTTGTTTGTAGCGTAATACACACGAAAACAGAAATTGGGTTTGTAGAAGGCTGATCAAATTTATGTCTGTTTGTGAAAGTTTGAAACTTTAAAGTGGGTTCTGGTTTTTCAATGGGGGCAGAAATGGTGTGAGCATGAATATGGAGGATGCTGCAGTGGATGAACAAACTGGGCCGGGTTTTCAAGAATTTTGCGGAGTGGGAAGTCAAATTTCTTCCGCTTCTTTGGATTTTGAAGCCGATCAGAGGATGGAAAATGTTTATAGGAAGATTTTGCAAAGTTATGATGACTTGCGGATTCGAAGCAAAGATTTGGAAGAAGCCAAGAGCAAAATCTTGAGGTATAATATTTGTTTAGTACGAGACCTTTCGGTTTAAGATTTATGTGCATATCAGAACGATTCCGGTACTTCGCAAGATGCTTTGTCCTGAAATTCCTCGGGCTATACGCATGTTATTTGTAATGTGTGTCAAAGATATGCTCTTTTTCCATATGTGGTCAGTATAGTGGAACAATAACTCGTTGAGATTGATGTAGAATTTTCAGAAATTAAGGCCTATTTTTGGTATCATTTTAGGACTTAACGATATAGGATATCTTCTGTGTTTAGGACTTTTTATTGTTTATATTGGCTAGATTGGTTATATGGTTGCTTGAAGTGATGTGGTCTCATGGATTTAACAGCTACACCCCCGGTGCGTGGATTGATAGAGTAGGTGCTGTGAAACCGAGGGACTATGATGTGCCAAATACAACAACACTTTTATTGGTTGGTCCAAAAGGATCTGGAAAGAGCAGTCTTGTAAATAGAATCTCGAAGGTGTTTGAAGATGATAAGTTTGCTTCGGAAAGAGCCCAAGTATCATGTATGGCTTCAGTTGTGAATCATGAAAGACTCTTATTTTAAAATGAACTTAGTTATGTATGTTCCACAGCTTAACCTGTATTGTTTCATTGTGCCAGATAATTCATCTATTGGAGACGGAACCTTTTTCCTCCATGAATATATGATACCAAGATGTTCGAGTTCTTTTTGCCTTTATGATACTCGTAGTTTGTCTGATAATTCACCTGAAAACATAAAAATACTGAAGCATTGGATGGAACATGGTGTTCGTCACGGGGAGCTTGTTGTAAGGTCTGCATTTCCAAGTCTGTACAGCCGTCTCATTTTGGCTTTACGAATTTGTTTACTTTCATTCACTTTAATTTATCTCAATTGACTCTCAGGGATTCAGACAGTCCAAGTTTGAGGAACACAATGATGTACAAAGATCGTGATGATGGTTATCTGTTCAGTGAGATCAAGAACGTTAATTTTGTCATATTTGTTGTTAATGGTCTTTCAGTTCTGAAATCAATGGAAAGCAATGAAGATGCAGAGACACAATATACTGAAATGATCGCCTCAGCTTTCAAATCTCGATACTTGGCATTTAAAGGTATTTGGATGTTGAAGTTTTATGACTCAATCTTTATTTCAATATTTGAAGGGAAGTGTTGGAAGCTTGAATTTAAGGTGTTTAGTCACTACCTCTCCCTTTTTTCTTCCAGATGATAAACCCCTTCTTGTTGTTACACATGGTGATTTACTTTCACTTGATGAACGTGCTCGTGTTCGTGTCCATTTGGGAGAACTGCTTGGTATTCCTCCTACAACACAAATTTTTGACATCCCAGGTGACCCTTGAAGTTATCCCCTTCTCCGTTATGGTTTTCATATTAATTAGTTTTTACAAAATTTGATGTTTCTCTTTGTGCTAATAGAAAGCAGTGATGCGGTAACTCAGTTGACAATAGTTGACATGATACGCTATTCACTTGAGCATGCCGAGAAAAATCTTCCTCGTAAAAGAAAGGTCAGTACTTTTGCAAACACTGACGGAATCTGTCATCTGTTTGCTATGATCTTTCCCAAATCTTTCCAGTACCTTATTGGTTTGCTGATTGTGGTTAATTACATGCAGGTCGAAACTTTGTCACTGTTATCATGTATGCTCCTGCTACTATTCCTCAGCATTGCCATAATGATCATGTACGCTCCTGTTAATATTCTTCAGCACGGCTACTGCCCTTCACCGCAAGCACATGTTCACAATAACCCAACACCCCCCTCACCGCCTTCATCCACTTCGCTCCAAGAGCATATTCAGCATGATCCTTCGGTGGAAGAGCATATCGACAATAGCCCTTTGCCGAGAGTGGAACTTCAGAATATCAGGATCGATTGGAGTAAAATCCGACCCTTGTGGTTAGACGACGGGATCGAATGGAGTAAAATCCGACACTTGTGGTAAGATGAATAAGTAAATTTGTTTCAGTGTCTTATAATTCACTCCTACGCGGTATAATCGCGTTGTTCCGACATTTTGTGTATATGCGCCTGTTAAAGTGCTTATGTTTATATGGTTTTGTAATCTGTATATGCACGTTCGATCTGTTTCGCTTGCAGCGAACGCCCTTGTTGATAATGTTGTTCATTCTCTGTATTGTATTAAGATTACTCAAAGTTGTATTTACGCGTATTTCCCAAAGATTCGTACACTCGAAATACATTTGCTCCAAGTAGTAATGGTGTTTCTGTTGATGAATAAATAGAATCAATCTGAAAAATTGTTGAACGTATTATTCGTATTCAGCATTCTTCCTTCGTATTCCAGAAAAGGAACAACAAAAAAAGCACCGAGAAAACATAATCTTTGAAACAAAGACAGGCCTTGGAATCTCGCAAGGGCTTCTGCTACAGACAGTAGAAGAAGATAAAAGACCAAAACTTTGGACTCCTCGAATCAAAACTTCAACACCCGCCAACACCAAAAATGGGCAAGACTACCGAGATTTGCTCGGAGGACATCCTTGAGCTTCGACTTATCACGGTCAAGCTGGTACGATGGATAATCAAATGCCTCGCCAAGAAATCACGTGAGAAAAATAGATATCTTAATAAAATTTGTTGATGAACTAGGATCATCGTCCTGAAACGGCGGTGTTTGGAATGCTCTGCATAAACTTGGCTCTTGCAGCAGGGTCAGTTGAAAATCGACCCAGTACAGCAATTGTTGCTGTACTGCTTCCAAACTTCTCGATTCCTCTAGAGATCATACAGGTGTGGCTAGCCTCCACAACCACAATCACATCTCCACCTAACAGTGGTGATATCGTCTCTGCTATCTGTCGCGTGAGTCTTTCTTGTACTTGGAGCTTAAAACCGTAAAAACACACAATCGATTGCAAAAGAGATTTTCCAATGGGATTGGATCCTTCGGTGCACATATATCCTATATGCACAACACCGTAGAAAGGAAGTAGATGATGCTCACACTGAGACCAGAATGACAAGTTCAGCTCGGAATGGATGTGCTTTTCCTTGAAGTTATCTCCATTGTCAGAAACAAAGCCATTCAGCTTCATATCGAAGTTACTATTTTGGAAGTTCATCAACCACTTCACAAAACGAGAAGGTGTTCCTACAAGCTCCTTCCTTAATGGGTCTTCACCCAGTGACCTAAGAATTGAAGCTACCGCAGTCACCATTCCCGGATTGACAGATTCCATCTTGAAGGTAGCAATTGCACCAGCAGAAGATCGAGATGGACACCAATGGTGATTTTGTTTGTCTCTCACGCGAGTTTTCTCCACATTTATGCCTCTGAATCTCAGCAGACTCCAAAAATCAGCCCAAATATTGGCATTTTTATTTTCAAAGACTCCTGAACCTGCGCTGACCAGTAACTCTACCCATCCTTGGTGGTTCGAGTCAAGAAAAACTGATTCCAGATTTGGGAAATGGACGTGCAAACATTGGAGTACGACTGCAACACCTGCTGGTTTGATTCCATGCTGCAAAGCTGAACACACTTCATTCGCTAGACGTTGGGGATCTTGGAGACGTTTTGCGAACACATCAGCTACTCGAGAGAGCTTGCTTAAGCCTACAACCCGTTGACCAGAAGGGACATAACCCACATGACATTTAACCTGGAACGGCAGCATACAAGATTCACAATACGAGAAGAGGTCAAGATCTCGAACGACTACAAGTCCACCAGCTCCTCCAGCATGACCAACTGCATTGTCCAGACCAGCTTCAGGAAATAAAGCACCTTGCACAATGTCCTTAACCTTTTGTCTGTAACCTGGGAAATAATTAAGGTTTCCGAATCAGTACTCGGGATAGCTTCACTTTTAAGTGAATATTTTAAAAGAAATCAGCACCACCAATAACATCCATGTCATTTTAAAAGCAGGTGAATGAATCAGGAAACATGCTTCATGCTGCATAAAGAATCAATTCTGAAACGGCAATTGAGAACAACTTCTTAACTTGGAGATAACACACACGCACACACGCACACACATACATATATGCCAACGAAGAACTTAGCCTCATAAAGAGTTGGAGCACAATTCCTCACCCCTAGCAACCTAGAAACAGAAGCAATTCTAGATGTTTTTGGTAGCCATGATGGATAAACTTAGACTTACGCGTATACAGAAAAAAAAGATGATTAAAAGGAATAAAAAATAGGAGGGAAAATAAGGTCAGCATCTAGCTTCCAATAAATTACACAGAGTCAGCATTCCAAAAGAAAAGTCTATGTTTTTGAAGTTCCAAAAGAAGATGATCCGTGTACTGGAAGTCCGAAAAATGCATACAATTGCAATCCTGAAATCTGAGGTCAGAGTTTTCGAGGTCAATAAGTTGCGGAAGCCGGCTGCAAGTAGGAAGCATTTTGTATCATTGCTAACAATTTTCCAGATAAAAGGTCAATCCAGGAACTTGATCAATGGGAATAGTGTCATCAGCTTGAAAGAGTAACACAAAACGTCAAAAGTTTACCACAATCTCTTCCTACCAATATAGGCCCACGAGGATTGCATAACAGCGGTTTTCGTGTCAGGATCCTCTTTTCATATGGAGTGCCAGATACTTGGAACACGACTAGTTTGGTACTAACATGAAAATTCCAAATTATTGAACAGAGATTGACAACTAAACCGAAATACTACCAACTAAACCAACTACCCAAGACCCTCAACAATTCAAAGGTAATACAAAAACTAAGGAAAGAACGAAAATTGAGAACAATGGTCCACACAATAACACAACAAAAATCAGAAAATCCCGCAAATAAAAGAACTGAACAAAGTTTGTAAAATTCAAATTCGAATCTCCCGCAAATTAGAAAAGTTTAAAACATCGTCTTTGTTAAACAAAAGTTAGGAGAGTAATTACCCCTTGTTCCTTCTCTGAGGGCCTTCGCAACCCGAAAAGGCGTCTTCTTCAAGCCTTCTCTGTTAACATCCTCCCCCAAGCCCTGCATGAGAACTTTGACAGCATCCTCAATAGCTATGGTTTCGGGTTCTTCCTCGAAACTCAGCTCAATGCAACCCAGCTTCACTCCATTCTCAAGCTCCGAGCAGAAATGCCCCTCGTCCAAAGCGCCCATTGACGGACCTCCAAATCCAAAAACAGCACCGACGCAGATCCCAAATCAGGCCCCAAATTCCAAATCCCCAAAATACACAGCTAAATCAATCGAAATCAAAGGTGCCCAGATGAAGAAAATCAAAATCAAATCTTTCAAAAAAGCCGCGACGAATCAATAAAAACACTCAAAACCAGAGCTACCCAGATGGACCAAAGAGAGAAAAACCAATAACCCGAGGTACCCAGATGAAATTAACAAAAAATCAAACTATTGAGTTCAGAAACAAGGATAGAGAAGAAGAAAAAACAGAGAGGAGTGAAGTTATAAAGGGAGGAAGCTAAAGGCTTAAGGGGATGGGAGAAGGAAACGTAGGGCTGGGTCTTACGTAGGAATGTGTGGATCTTCGTCTCTGAGGATTTGGGAATCTCTCATCAGAATGTGGGACCCGACCCAATTGCCCACATGAGGGGGGAAGAGAGAGAGGCTGTGAATTGGGGTTTGGTGGCTCTCTGTTTTTTTGCACGGGACCGAAGGACCTGGGTCGGTTCGGTTGTGTCTGCTCAGTTCTCTTCTGTCAATGCAGATATGTACGTATATATATATAGACCATACAGAGAGAGATAGAGAGAGATAGACATTTGACGCTCATACCAGTCAGAGCACCAAAAGCAAAGCAAAGAAAACAGATATGGTGTTAGCGTATTGGCCTATTTCTATAAAATAGTACCTTTCACCAACCCATCACCGCCAAAGAAGACATTACCACTCCCACCAACCGCAGATCTCGGATCTCTACTTTGCCTTTTGCTCTTTGTTTATGGTTAATAAATTCTTTGTAGACTAATATTAAGAAGATCAAAATTTTAAATTAAATTTATAAATTAAATAATATGTTATTAATATAAAATAAATATATATATATATACTTTTTTTATTTGTAAGTGGTTCATTTACCATAGTGATGGAAAAATGTCAGAATGTCATGCGTTCAAACCCCAGCAGTTAATTTAACAAAATATATCATTTGACAAAAAAAAAAAAACAAAAAAGGTTTGAACCTACGCCGTCATGTAAAGACTCAATACATTTCCATTATTGTGGTAAATGGCCAATCTCTTTCATTATTTGAACCAAGCAATGGATGGATGCTTCTAACTCAAAATCAATTCTCAATGGCTGGAAATGTCCAAGAATTTTCAACACTTAAGTTAGACTTTTATCCTTCAATATGAGATGTTTGGTTATGTTCAACCAGCGGATTCGTGACACCACTTTTTTACACAACTTCAAAACTTGATACTAGATATTTGGTTATATTTGACCAAAAAGATATATAAGGAACTAGACTATGTTTGTATGAGAGATATGTAAGTACCAATAAGATTTGAAAATTTTAGTTAGAAATGAATTACAAAACATTATAAAAATGAATTTGAAACACACTTCAAAACATTAGGAAGACGGAGTCGAAATGAGTCATTTGTAAATCTCTTTCAATGCATTGTATATGGTCGTTTCAAATTCCTCAAACGAAATGTTTTGCACCACATTTCTAACTAACCCAGGCTAAATCCTTTGGCATTTGCAAATCCCTCCACAGATTCATGGATGTTATACATGGAATCCCTATATCTCAATTATTTCAAGAAACTAGGGTCAAAGATTAAAAATGATGATGGATGAATAGTACCTCACTTTGTTAGAGCGTTTCCAAACAAACTAAATGACATTTGACATAAACTCCCCTAAAAACATAAACTCCCCTAAAACCAGTACTACAAACTAACCATCCACAAATCACTTTTAGTTTCTTCTAGAAGCAGTCTTAAACAAACTCATAGTCTGATACATATAAAAATAGCTGTTTTCAAATTATGAACGTAAAAGTTTATGCATGCATTTCAAACTCTTATCTATATGCAACGAAAAATATTTACAGTAAGAAGTTGTGTATTTTTTAAAAGTTTATTCTATTTTGTCATATCTTATCGGTCGTCAAATTTATTTTTATCTTTTTTACCAAATAAAAAAAATTCAGTCGTAGTAAGAGACTTCATAAAATGTTAAATATGGCACGATATTGGTATAAGAGTGATGTTAGATGGCATCAGTGTTTAAAATATCGGTATCGATGGAAATATCGATATGCAAATTTGCAAAAATATCAATGGATATATCTGATATCAACATTGATATCGATTGTCTTCGATGGAAATTGTGGAAATTTGCTAAAAAAACATGAAAATTTGAAATTATTGTTTAGGGGATGTCATATGAAGCCGCAACACATGTATAAATCAAGAATTAATGATTAGATACTGTGTAAAAAATAAGTATGTGATATGTGAGAAGGAATTTTTTTTTTTTCTAATGACAAGTAATAGAATAAAACATTTCACTAGAATGAATAATTTACACATAATTAATTGAAACTTTCATCATGAAAGCAATACAAATTTTATTGAATTAAACTAATACCATACAAAATGCATAAGTTCATGGAGTTAAAACTGATAGTCAATCTTCATCTTTTATTTTGATTAGGCATTCATGCGTAGTACTTTCCAATTGCATCAATCTCCATATATATGATAGATTGAAAACTAAATTCACATAATAGAAAAAGAAACAAAGAAGGAAACGTGAAAATAAAGGAAGAAGAAATTTCAACCACTAGTATGTAAGGATACATAAAATATTGAAGAAATTGACTGATTTCCAAAAATATTGGGAATATGGGGTGAAATGTACACTTCACCCCCCCCCCTTTTCATTTCGTTCCCTAAATTTTTGGATATTTCAATAGAAATATCAGCATATTCAGGATATTTCAAACACTGGATGACACAAGGTTTATATTTTATTATGATTAATTAGCACTATTATTAAGAAATCACAGATGTTTAAATAATCTGATATGTTTAGCAACTGACATTTGGTCATGTGATATTTATCCCATCAATGCTGAAAAATGTTTTTAAGCTCGAGGTCTTTTCCTAGAATATCTCTTAACCTATTTTTGAAGTGACTGAGGTTGGAAGATCGAAGATACTAATGATTTATTAACCTTACCTACCAAATTCTCCCCATCGTATGCGAATTTCAAATGGGGTTTGTGCTTTTTCTTATGAAAGTGATATTGCGTAGGAAGAGTCATTCGCAACCTTGAATGCACGATAAACACAACAGCTCTTCACATTAGTGGTTAGGATGTCATAATGATTATGTTTTCACGAAAGAAATAAACTTGAAATTTGGATAAAAATAAGAATTTATAAATTAACATACATTAATTTTCTTGTTTGGATTTATAAATATAAAAATTTAGAATTTTTACGTGGATAAAAATACAAGGAAAAATTACACTTAGAGTATACCTTTATACTTAATTTTAAATTAAGATAACACTTTTTAAACATTTCAAAGAAAGATAAAAGTTAATATATGACATCATTGGCTTTTTCATTTGAAGTGTAAGGTACAAAAATACCCTTTATAATAGTAAAGTATTTTCACACTTCTTATCTCCTTCACTTGGTCATTCTCTCTTCTATCTCTGCAATGTCCTCACCCGTCGTCGCCTTCACATCCAGAACCCATTGCCGCCTTCTCCACACCCTCGCTTCTGGCTATGAAGGGCCTCCATCCTCGTACGGCTCTGTCTACGTCCCTCGCTACAGACTCGGATCCTATCTGGATGCTTGTGGTGCGGAGCCTGCAGGCCAATTAATCTCAGCCTTTCACGTTGCCTTTCACTTTATTCTCAGCCTCTCTCCTTCATCGCCAAATTCGCAAAAATTAGCCTCTCCCCTTCACCGCAGATTCCCATTTGCTTTGCAAAAAATTGTGAACTGGAATGTGTTGGAACACCAACATCCAATAGAAAAACGAAAACTAAACACTCTGCTCAAGAATTATGAACAGAAACGGATCCAATCTCACAAAAAATTAGATTGCCAAACAAATTGTGCATATGTTATTTATCTTTTAATCTCTATTTCTTGAATATCAGTGTAATATCGCAGAGAAATTTTGAAAAAATTGCATCAAGAAGAGTAGCAGAGGCTTGAAGCTTGAAGCTATGTGCAAGGGATATTGGGCAGAAGATATTGGAAAGAATCCCCAAAGTTCACTGTAATTTCTTAATTCCTTTTAGAAAAGAAAGGATCAAGCCTACGTGCAAAGGATATTGTGAGAAATGTGAAAGAAGATGAAGATTCCATTCAGGTCATGGAATGGCCGAATTTAAAACAAGTCAATGTTACATTGACATGCCCTAACCTAGAAAAAAAAAAGTCATCACTGTACAAAAATAATCATCCCACCACCATCATTTATGTACGTATTGAAACCATTCTTATACACATCACATCACATGCCATGCAAGTATGTGACTAATATTAATCAATATTACTCATATTCTTATTTGTAGCGTCGTAATTTTTTTTATTTTGATGTTGAAATACTTATTTCCGGATTAAAAATAAAATTTCTGCAAAAATGATCTATGACGGATTGAACTGATTCTGCCAACATGGTCGAGAGTGAGTTGAAATGATTATACAAAAATGGTCAATGACGGGTTGAACTGATTCTGCAAAAATGGTCGATGAGGGTTGAGCTGACTCTGCAAAAATGGTCGAGGATCGGTTGAACTAATTCTGCCAAAAAAGTCGAAGCCGAGTTGAACGGATATTCCAAAAATGGTCGATGACAAGTTAAACTAATTCTGCAAAAATTGTTGAAGACAAGTTGAACTGATTCTGCCAACATGATCGAGAGTGAGTTGAACTGATTATGCAAAAATGGTTGAGGACGGGTTGAATTGATTTTGCAAAAATGGTCGAGAATGGTTGAATTGATTCTGCAAAAATGGTCGAGGACCGATTGAACTGATTCTGCAAAAAAGTCGAAGACGAGTTGAACTGATATTCCAAAAATGGTCGATGATGGGTTAAACTAATTCTACAAAAATGGTTGAAGACATGTTGAATTGATTCTGCAAATTGGTTAAAGATAGGTTGATCTGATTCTCCAAAAATGACCGATGATAGAAATTGGGTTTGTAGCGATATACACGTGAAAACAGAAATTGCAGAGAGAGGTTGTGATTTGGGGGCTCTCTGTTTTTTTTTTTTTTTTTTTTTTTTTTTTTTTTTTTTTTTTTTTTGTACGGGACCGACGGACCTAGGTCTGTTCGGTTGTGTCTGCTCAGTTCTCTTATGTCATTGCAGATGTATATGTATATATAGGCCATACACAAAGAGAGAGAGAGATAGGTGTGTGATTAGAACATTTAGACGCGAGTAAATTGTAGCAATGGTTTTTCAACTTTAATCAAATTGGAGCAATGATCCTTCAACTAAAAATTCATTACCATTGGTCCATCAACTCATCAAAATGTGTAGCTATGGTCATTTTCGTCAACTTTGTTAGAATTTTGTCAAAATAAGTTATGTTGGAAGGACCATTGTTACAATTGAGGTCCCTCAACTCATCACAATATGTAGCTATGATCATTTTTGTCAACTTCGTCAGAATTTTGTCAAAATGAGTTATGTTGGAATGAACATTGCTACTATTGAGTTAAAGTTGAGGGACCATTAATTCAATTGAGTTAAATTGAGGGACTATTTCTCTGGTTGGATTAAAGTTGAGGGACCAATGATAATTGATTTTTAGTTGAGAAACCATAGCTGCACGTTTTGATGAGTTAGGAGACCAATGATAATGAATTTTTAATTAAAGGATTATTACCCCAATTGAATTAAAATTAAAGAACTATTGTTACAATTTACTATTTTGACGCTCATACAAGTCAGAGCACCAAAAGCAAAGAAAACAGACACGGTGTTTGCCTATTGGCCTATTGGTATGGAATAGTACCTTTCACCAACCCACCACCACCAAAGAAGACATTACCACAGTACCACTCCCACCAACCGCATGTCACGGATCTGTACTTTGGTTTTTGCTCCTTTGTGTTTATATGTTTATATACCAATAGAAAATAAATATGTTAATAAATATTTAAATAATAATTTAATATCAACAACAATGTCATTTGATTTAAAAAATTTGATCTTCATAGCATTGTTTTCCTTGTATTCTATATGCCATTTGTACTCTGTTATTATTTAACACGAGAAGTTTTTTAGCACGACGATAATTTAGTATTATGATGTTACTAACTTACATATTTTATGGTTAATACAGTAACTTACCACCACGTAACGATAGTTTAAGTTTTCATTATCTTAAAGAAAAAAACATAGCTATGACATGAGAGAGAGAAAAAAAAATATAAACAATATGGGGTATGGTGTACAAAAATTTCTCTCGTTAGTGTTTCAACGATGGCAATGGCAATGACAATGTCAAATTTTTTTTCTTTTGGTGGATAGCAATGTATGCATATAAAGTTTATTATATTTTTTCTTTTGATAAGATATTGGTGGTTGGCAAAGGTTTTATTTGTATATAAACTTTATTCTAGAGGATCTAAGAGAAAGATGTAAAGTATATGAAGTTGATATTAGTGGTTGCCAAAGGTTTTAATGTTGATGGGTGTCGCAAGGGGAATGCCAACTTCATTGGTGTTGGTGGTGTTCTCAGAAATTTGTCGGGGGCATGGGTTTCTAGGTTTTGTGCTAATCTTGATCGAGATGAGATTCTATGTGCTGAAGTTTGGGGTGTTCTTATTGGGCTGCAACTTGCATGGAATAATAGAATTAAGAAGATTATGGTAGAATCGGATTTTGCTCTTACAGTTCAATTGATTTCAATGCAAAAGTGGATATGCACCAAAGCTAGTATTGTGAAATTCGTCATATCTATCGTGAAATTTTTTTTGTTGTTGATGATTTGACTCATTTGGGTTTGTCATGCAGTTTGGGTCTAGTATTTTTTAAGCAAGCTCCTCCTTCTTGTCATCGGCTGCTAATTGCAGATATAGCTGGAGTCTCGTGGCCTCGAGATATTCTACTGTAATCTTCCCTTTTTTTTGTTTTTAATTTTTTAATTATTTTTCAGGCCTATGCCCGTTGTCAAGCAAAAAAAAAGTATATAAAGATTGTTGTAAAGGGTCAAAAAAATTTATCTTTCATTATTTGGACTAAGCAATGGATGGATGCATCTAACTCGAAATCAATTCTCAATGCCTGGAACTGTCCAAGATTTTTTAACATTTAAGTTAGACTTTTATCCTTCAACATGAGATATTTAGTTATGTTAGAGTAGGCGGATTCGTGACACTACCTTTTTTTATACAATTTCAAAACTTGATACTAGATATTTGGTTATGTTTGACCAAAAAGATATGTGTTTTTTTATAATGTCACGGATCCGCCCCCATATGATATATACAGATATATTTTCAAGTTAAAATACATCTCCAATAAAAAAAGGGAAGTGTTATTGGCACTCCAAAAATCTCATTCTAGACTCCTCACAAGTGTATTTTTTTTTTTAAATATAGAAAGTTTGAAGTGTAGAATGAGAAATTTAAAGTGCCAATAACAATTCCCTAATCAATAAAAGCCCACTTACACTTGGATTAAGAATAAAAAAACAATTTTTTTATTTCTCCGAATAAAAAAATGATTGCTCTTAATTAACTGAACTACAATTCTTATTGCGGTTTCATGTTTCTATTCTCACTTGGAAGTTTTATAGAAGTGGCTTATGATAACCGACTAATCAATAAAAGCCCATTTACACTTGGATAAAGAATGATCGAGTTGGACCAGATCGGCCGGACCCAGCCCATTTGGCCACCGCATTGTTTCAACCCATATCTAGTTCGGATCTTGAAACTTGAATTCACTCCATCCAGCTGCCCATCACTGATCAGTCTTCCAACAAAACCCATGGATCCTCCACATGGAGGGAGGCCATGCTTGCTTCACCATCCCCACCACCACCTCCACCACCATCACCACCGCCACCCTTTATTCCTCAGCCCTCTCCACCACCGCCGCCACCACCACCACCACTTCCACCATCTCCGCCTCAATTTTGCGTCTTTTCCTCAAAACCGAGAACCCCCAGCTGCCGCCCCCATTCCTTTCCCAACCCATATGAATTCAGAACCTTCTGAGCTCAAAGAAGCGCACTACGACGATCCTACCTTTCTGTGAGTAGCTTCAAGGTCTAAGTATGATTTTGGTCCCTCTAGTTATAGTTAATTGCTGCAATTCTTGGAGGCTAGCTTAATTCCGCCATTTTTTTTTTCTTCAAGGGAATTAGGAATGTGAGATGAATGCATATGGCGTTTTTGCACCTCAAGAAACTCCAATTTAGGTTCACACATGCCGGATGCAAGCAAATTATTGTCCTCGATTTGGCAATTCAAGATTTGGTTTCTGATCAGTTTGTTAACAGGACATTGCCGGAGCAGACGTATGGTGAAATCGGTGAAGGTGTGGTGGAAGAGGAAGAGGATGATGAACCGATTTTCGTCTTAACAGACGAGTGGAAGGAGTTTTTAGCAAAATGTGAAGCTAAGAGGAAACTAGGTACTCTTTTCTCAGTCTCTCTGTTCTCTACTCTTCACTTCACTTGAGGAAAATAATTTCCGTGCAACTTTTTCTTGTGTGCGGAAATCACTTCCCTTGCATCTCGAGAACATTGACTTGTATTAATATGATTGTGTGCTTGGTGTATGTAATTGCAGAGAAGCAGCAGGCCAAGAAGAAGGGAAAATATAAACAGAGTCAAGAGTGAAATCATAAGTTTCCTTTGGCTACGAGCCTGACTTGTAAGTGGCGTTTTTATTTTTTATTTTTGAAATATTGGCAACGATGAAATGTTGAAGTAATTTTTGTAGAAAAATGTAGCAATTATGCCAGAGAAAACCCTAATGTGACTCCAATGTTCATCGAAAGGAAGCTTTCTGATTTATGTGACACTATTGTTCTCCCAGAAGGTTACCGTGAAAGATACATTGATAGAGTTCTTCGTACATTGACTGGCTGTGCTAGCGGGAACGCTTGTCCGGCCATCTATGGTTTGTAGGCTAGCTTGTTGAGTGCAGCATTAAACCTTTCCTCTGGGATCATGCGGTGGTTTTCGTAGAAATCTAATAACTCCATTGATATGTTTTTCACCTGTCAAAATATGCGTTATAATTAATTCCCAGGGTACGAACAGAAAGAGGGCACGCTACACTGATTTGTTATTACCAACTCTAGAGTACGATGATATGCTAAATGAAGATGCAACAACTCTATTTGGATTGAATGATGACATGCTAAATGCAGAAACAAATACAATAATCTAAAGCGACATCGCGAGTGCGTATGCTGGATTGAACGAAACCATATTTTTTTTCCCTATTTTCAAGCCATTTGTACAGAAGTTCCCGATTAATGCTGCTCCAAATATCAAGTAACAAAGGCCAGGGCGGTATTGCTTTAACAAATGCACAGCCAGACGTTGTAAATGAAATCAGCATTTGCAATCAAATGATGAACCCAATTAGGGTTGCGCCTTAAACAGATCAAAGGTCTTTTTTCTCTTTTCATACATAATCATAAGGAAACAACGCAGATATATCCAGAAGACTCACCACATTCATGTCAACACGGAGCTCTTCAAACCATGCTGTGGTATCTTTATCTCTAAGTACGCTAGCAATGTATATGCAAGCTAAAGCAATCAGGTGTGGAGGATGTACAAGCGCAAGGTCCATCTTGTAAGTGTCATTTACAACTCCCCTGTACATAAAAAATGTCAAGGTTACCTCACGTTTAAGTTCTAGAGAGTGCGATAAAAATTTGCTTATCAGAAACACCAAAGAGGCATTTCTATATTAAAACCCCTTGACAACAAGCGGAGCCCTAAAGAAACAGCCCCCAAATAACAAGGCTACGGGTTGTGGGTTTCTGGAGATGATGTTTAGAATATGGATCACAGCGTTTGAAAATAAGACGCTTGGTAGATTGGACTCTTACCAAGTTAACTGAGTCATACTTATATCGTTTAAGCCTGCATCTTGAAGCAACCTGGAAAGAAATGGAGTGAAACTGTTTTAAGTAATAATCGAGGGGGATTAAAGAGAAAATTACTGTAGTTAGAGCGTTATCAAGGTGGGAACTAAGCACTAGCAGGTAAAGAGATATCCATCTTTCCAAGCATCCACTAATCAAAACTGACAGAAAAAGTACGTACTGAGACAATGAACGATAAGGATGGTATACAACCAGATAATAGTTGAGCGCTTCTAAAATCTTCATTTCCATTTCAAGTATGTCTTTGACCTCATATCTATACTTATCATCCAAATCTGTAAAAGAAATGTGGCAGATCGACGTCAGTGTTTCAATATAAATAGAACGACAAGTAAATCATAACAAAAATTGGAGAAAGGCATCTATTATTTCCAGGAACAAATACTTACACATCTTTTTTATATAAAATACTAGAAGTTTAGCTTGCCTTGTGCTTTCTTCCGCTTTAGATGCCAGGTACAGGCAGGTTGGAGCTACAAGACGTGGATCATACTCAGACATACTCTTCCTGAAGCAATAACGAAACGTCATGCTTGGAAAGAAAAATCACAACTAAAATACAAAGTGCTGCGATGATAGATTACTAAACAGCAAGCCCAAAGAAAGGAATGTCAACCATAACTGTGCAGTGAATTGAGACAAAATTGCGTTGTGAACCCAGAATACAACAATCAGAACAATGCAATCAGACTACAATAAAGATTGAACACCCATACGCATGCATACATGGCACTGAACTTTTGGGGGGAATAAGTACTAAGAAGTTGATAAGTTCAAACACTCATCTAAACAACATCTGATAAGTAAGTGGGGTGAACTATAAGCAGATGAAAACAAACAAACAACAGGCAGGTCCAATCATGATTGACAATCAATGAGTCGAGGATATGCGTAGGTTAGTAGTTATTGTGATAAATCAGTTCAGAGACAAAAAAAGTAAAAAAAAAAAAAAAAAAAAAATACGTAGCTTAGCTAAAGAAATTATTAACTTGACAGATATGAACTCAGTTATGAAAGGAAGGATTTGGAGGTTAAGTTTAACAGCCTCAGGACTAACAAAAGAGAACAACCACAAATAAGCAATAAGCCATGAACTTATGGCTAGCGACTGAGCATTTCTCGTACAATAGGACAATTAGTTAACGTACTTGGTGTACGCACGTCTCATATATGTAACTGCGGTAGCTACAACCCTGAAACCAGTAAATAAGAAATCAGATAGATAGGCAGAAGTGAATTAAGGATTTTCCAGAACATAAGCAGATGAGGAAATTAGTCCGACCTTTGTCTCACTTTTACAAGTTGTGCCAATCTTGATATATCTGAAAGCAAGGAAAAGGGAAAAGAGGAAAAAATGATTAATTTACAGTAAAGCAGATATGAAAAATATAGTGATCAGCAGTATTATGCACGTGCATTTGAGCAACATCCATTAATCTTGTATCAGAAGCTCTATTCCTAAGAGTTTAATTACTTGAAAATAATAACAATATGGTATAAGGATATTCATAGCAAAATAACATCACATCAACAAAGAAGATGCCCAAACCAAATTTGTAAGATGGTAAGAAGCCAAGAACCATATGACAACTTCTAGGGGAAATGATCATTTAGCAGAGAACCAACTCACACAACCGCATGACAGAATAACAATCAGTTTCTTCTGTCGTTTCAATCCAGTGAAAAAGCTCCAAAGGTTACATTTCATCAATTAGGAATTCTTGATAATCCTGCTAAAAGTTACAATTCATTCTGTGCATTAACCCAAACAATAATCCGCAATCAAGCACGTTCGGTAATGCATAGTACCATTCACTGAATTGTTATATCATGATCAAACAAGAATCTCTATATCCATCCCAACACTCTGATTAACTACAGCTGAACTATCAAATTTTAATTCTTTTGTATCGATTAGCATGTCAAATTCAATGCAGCTGCTGACTCATATCTAATGAAGTTCTTAAATGCAAGGGCATAAGAAGCTCAATCGAAACCAAGAAAGTTCAACAAAAATGTAACAATTCAGCATCCACCACAGATATAATCAACAAATAACAAAAACCCATGTTGGGAAACACATTTAAAACCCAATCCACACAAATCGAAACAGAAACATGAGAGAGAGAGAGGGAGCGAGGAAATACAGTTAGCCATATGCATCTTTATAAGCTTGAAATCTTCAAGAGTGATGCCCTTCTCTTTATCAAGCGGGGACACCACATCAACATCTTCCTGCTCCAAAAGCTGTTTGCTGAGTTAATCAAAAAACTGAACGACATAAATCAAAACCCACCAAAATCAAAACAAACAACAAAATCAGAAACACGGGAAACAGTTTCGGGATCGAAAAGAGTGTACTAGTGGGACGAAGTCCAGAAATTGGCCGCCATGTTTTCCTTTCTGGGAGATTTCCAAGTCTGAGTTCCCCCAACTGTCAATTATTCCGCCGTTGCGAACTTCAGATTCTGATTTCCGGGAAAGTAGAAATTGGACTTTGGATTGAGCCCATTTCGTTGACCATGGGCCTTGCAACCCATCTATTTGAATCCAATTCAACCAAAGCGGTCCAACCCAACTAGGAAAAAAATACAAATGATAATCTACCGACAGAGTTTCACCCTGAGCATAGCGCCCTGCACATGAGCCGACCAAAACCCCTCTCATCCACTCGTTTTAAAGCTGTAAAAATGAAGCTGGAATTATTGTGCGAGATTGTAATGGGATTTTTTTTTTGCTGGGGATGTCTTTTCAAGGCTGTTAGTTTGTGTCTTCGGTTAGATTCTCCTCCAAAGTCTATTGTCGATGAGCTCCTAGAGGATGTCTTTTCAGTCTAATGGACCGGGTATGTCGGTAATGTTTTTCGTTTGTTAAGTTGCAGATTATGGTTATATAAATATTCATGTGCTATTTTTGTAGAAAATATATGTATTTAATATCCAACATATATTCATACTACTTATACTTCATATCATAAACCAAAAAACTCATTTCCTGCGTGTCATGTATTAATATTTTTCTTATCACTTTGCCACTTTCTATTATTACACTGAAATTTTTGTAACATTGGAATCGTAATCCATTATCATTCAAAATGGTCCCTATTATTATTTAGGTATAAGTCATATTATAATAAGATTTTCTTAATTATTTTTCGGTTACTCTCATTAGAAAAAATTTCTAACTACGTCCTTATTCACCTTCATCGAAGTATTGTCATTGTATTAGTTACCACGTAATAATTATTTTTTATTGTGGTGGGGTTCATTGTATCAGTTTCCACGTAATAATTCCATTTTTTGGTGGTGGGGTGTTTTATTGTGGTGGGAGTTTTTTGGGGTGGGGGCCCTTCATCGGAGTATTGTCATTGTATCAGTTTCCAAGTAATAATACCTTTTTAGGTGGTGGGAGTGTTTTGGTTTGGGGTGGGGGGCCGGGGCAAAACCTAGTAAATCCAATCATACATAAATATGTGGTCAATAATTAACATCAGTCCCCCTTTTCTCCCACGTTGATCGTACTTATACATATCCGCACGTCTATGGTTTTGCCGAACCAGTGAGGGTGAAGAGGGAAACGAGTTAGGTTTAAGTTAGGTTAGCGGTCGATTGGGGTCGAACTTAAGTTGAAAAGAGATGCTCTCACCGAAGCACCTGTGGATGAGTTTCATTTGCTTTCACTATTAATGTTAAATCTATATTTCTAAAAGCAAAACACGTTAGGGTTCTTGGAATGTAATATAAAAAAATACGGTCGACCGGGCTGGGTCACTGTGAAACATTTACATGAATATTGTGCTTCATATGTAAAGGTAAACTCTGGTAGTTGAAATAAGAAAGAATCATTGGAAGGAAAAAAAATAATAACGATAAAGAATGTTGTACACTAGTTTTCGTTAGGGATGGTAGTTTTAAACACGACATCTTAAAATGACTTGAAATCATCATAAAATGGGTGGTACTATCCACGTCATTTTTTACCTCTCAAATCTTTTTTAATATATGATCGTCGGATTGAATTAATTGAAGTAAATTTAAAAATATAAATTAACAAAAAGTGTGAAAGAGATAAAAATAAGTACATGTATATCATTACCTTAAATGTAAAACTTGACTAGAAGCTAGCGTTACTCATGAGCTTTGGATTCATGCATGTGTCATATCATTCAACTAGCTACATTTGATTTTTTGTAGGTAAATCATTCATGAAACATGTGTGGATTTCAATTGCCAAGCATGACCTTTGTGCGAGGTTCATTTTCCTTCAATTTTGTATGTCCATTTGAATAGTCAAATGAATGATCTACCTCAATCAGTTTTTCCCATAAATACTGATCCCAAAATCTACTATATCCTACACACAATCTTACCACCAGTCAACTCTCTCTCCCAACACCAGTCTTCTTGGAATGTAACGGAAAAAAAATATGGTCGGCATTTACACTGAATATTGTGCTTCATATATTAAAAAAATATGGCAGTTGAATTAAGAAAGAATCATTGGAAGAAAAAAGTTAATAACGATAAAGAATGTTGTACGCTAGTTTTCGATAGGAGTGGTAGTTTCAAACGCCCTTCTTAATTTATGAATCTCGTATTGAATAAATAGGAGAATATCAAATAATAAAAAATAATAATAAAAATAAGTATGTGAATAACTTCAACCTAAATATCTCGAAGCTAGCACCACTCATGATGTTTCGATTCATACGTACGTGTGTCATGTCGTTCAACTAGGTACAACATGTTGGGTGGCTAAGAATTAATTATACTCATTTGTCTCCGAAATTAAAAGTTTGCAGCGTGACAAGCATAAAAAAATATAAAAAACGTGAGGATAATGCATATTGATGAGTAGGGAGTAAACGCAAAAATATAAATAAAAGAGTTCCTGCCACTTAAATGTGAAAGATCTTGGATTTGATTTTCGTCAAATGTGACTTTAAATCATAATATTGCTAGCTTATTGGTGAGGCATAACTAGTCCCCCACCACCTTAGATACTATCGTTTATTAAAAAAAATAAAATAAATAAAAGAGTTCCTTAAAGATAGGCCATGTAACTCTTGTTTCTTAAACTTAAACTCATATCTTTAAACATCCAAATAAAACTCAAAATTAAAATTTGTTAACTTGTGGGAAACAAGTAATCTATTATTATCTCTACTAATTAATAAAACTCTCTTTGTCAACCAAAAGAGGGTGAAAAGACAAATTAATCTTTTATCATACAAAAAAAAAAAATTATGGGCAATAATGTAATTTCATAGGTCCAAATTTTACTGTTTTTTATTGAAGCCTCACCTACCTGTAATGTTAAAATACCTCCAATATTAAAAAAAAAAAAAAACCAAAAACAAAAACCTCCCACTTCCCCACGTTCTCTCTCTCTCCCTCTCTCCTTCTCATTTTCTAAAAAAATGTGTTCATAAACATAAAGTGTGTAGGCAAATGCTAGTAAATTATCTAAAAGACCCTAATTATCTCTACTAATTAATAAAACCCTATTTGTCAATCAAAAGAGGGTGAAAAAACAAATTAGTCTTCTATCACACAAAAAAAATGATGGGCAATAATGTATTTTCACAGGTCCAAATTTTACTCTTTTTTATTGAAGCCTCACTTATAGGTGATGTTAAAATACCTCTAACATTAAAAATACAAAAAATAAAAAAAAAAAACCAAAAACAAAAACCTCTCACTCCCCCCCCCCATGTTCTCTCTCTCTCTCTCTCTCTCTCTCTCTCTCTCTCTCTCCCTCTCTCCCTCTTTCTCATTTTCTAAAAAAATGTGTTCATACACACAAAGTGTGTAGGCAAATGCTAGTTTTAACTAATGAATCTTGTTATTACCAAAAATAATGATGAATTTCGTTAAGTATTAACATGCATAATTTCAATAAAATAAAAAATCCTTCCCGTGAAATCATTTTTTTCCATCTAGCCTTCTTTTTAAAGCAATCTAACATTTTAAAATTCAAACAGTAATGCACTATTTGCGGGAGTGAAAAACTGTGTTATTTCAAGAGTTAACTATACAATTATAAATATATGATATGCAAATGTTTACCTACACTTTTTATTTAAAATATAGATAATGAATTTTGAATCAAAAAACATGTCTCTATTTTTGTGCTAATTAAATTTATTAATGATTAGCACGTTATTTATGTTTGTAGATAAATTATTTGCATGTATTATTATTTTATGTGCAAATAATTGACTTATAGTTTTGTGTAAAATATAAAATTATTTTGAATCAAATAACATTTATTATTTTTTACGTAACACTATGCTTGGATGAGGAAAATAAACATAGAATTTTGGTAAAAGTCAGAATTTATAAATTGACAGGCACCAATTTTCTTGTTTGGATTCATAAACATAGAAATTTAGAATTTCAGCGTGGAAAAAAAAAACTTGGAATTTGGGACCTCCAAATCCCAAGTTCAAATTCCATGTAAATAGATGTCATTTCTCAATTTCTATGATTGATAATTTAAAAATAACAAATTCTGTATTCAATTCCATTGTTCTTTTAGGTTAACCAAACAAGAAAACTTACAAAATCTAAAAAATAAAATATCATCATTTCAATTTTCGTCATTTTTAAATTCCTTAATAATTTTAATTTTTTTCACCCAAACATAGTGTAAATCATTCATGAAACACATGTGTGGATTTCAATTGCCAAGCACGATATTTGTATGAAACTCAATTTCCTTCAATTTTGTCTGTTGAACAGTCAAATGAATGACCTTCCTCAATCAGTTTTTCCTATAAATACACATCCCAAAATCTACTATATCCTACACACAATCTTACCACCAGTCAACTCTCTCTCACCACCATGGATTCGATCATTTCTCCATTCCAAATCATTCATACAATATTAGCTTCTCTAATTCTCTATGGTGTCTTGAGAATCATAGCAATAGCAAACACTAAGAAGAACACCATCAACAAAAATACCACGTTGCCTAAAGTCCCTCAACCCTCGGGAGCATGGCCCTTCATAGGTCACCTCCCTCTGCTACGTGGCGAAAACCCAGTTGCACTTATCCTCGGAGCCATGGCTGATCAACACGGACCCATCTACTCACTCAAGCTTGGCCAGCACGAACTGCTTCTTCTCAGCGCATGGGAACAAGTCCAAGAATTGTTCACAAAAAACGACAGAGTTTTCGCCACACGGCCGAGTACAGCCGGCGGCAAGTACTTGGGTTACGACAACGCCATTTTCTCCCTTGCACCGTACGGAAGCTACTGGCGCGACGTTCGGAAACTTGCCACCTTGGAGCTTCTCTCCAGCCAAAGAGTTAAAACCCTAAGCCACATCAGAGCCTCAGAAGTCGGTTCCTTCATCAAAACTTTGCACTTACTTTGCACAAAGGATAATGTGGGTCCAAGTTCCACGTCATCGTCATCAGTGCATATGACTGAGTTATTAGAGCACTTGACGTTCAACATAAATGTGAAGTTGATCGTTGGGAAAAGATTCACGGCTGGCCAATATAACGAGAAAAACAGTGACGTTTGGCGTTTTGAGAAGGCATTAAAAGAGGCTTTGCATCTCTTTGGGGTTTTTGTCTGGTCAGATGCTATGCCATGTTTTGAGTGGCTGGACGGTTTGTTTGGTCACGTGAGTTCTATGAAGAAATGTTTTAAGGAATTGGACTACGTGCTTGGGAAATGGCTCGAAGAACATCGACAAAGAAGATTGGAAAGCAAGACTAATAGGC